TTAATAGTGACAAGAGGACGATACCTGGAGGGGTGGGTTGGGTCTTTATTAGGTTCCAGCAGGAGTGTCATGGTAGCCGTATTCATATGTGTCAGTACTGTAGAGGTGGTTTTAATTTCTGTGGTAACTGAGATATAGCGGTGATAAATTCTGCCAGAAGTGTTTATAAAATTCAGCAGGGAATCCGTCAGGTCCAGGTGATTTGTTATTTGGCATGGATTTCAGTGCTCTGTGGAGTTCTTCCACAGTGATGCGGGCATCTAAGGTATTGGATTGTTCTCTTGATAGTGTTGGTAATTTTATATTGTTTAGGAAAGTATCTATTTCAGATGGGTTTGTTTCGTGATCAGAGGAGTATAGTTTGTTATAAAATGCCTTAAATATGTTGTTAATATCCTGTGGATTATGGACAGTTTCACCTGCAGAGTCAAGTATGGGTGTAATGATTGCTTTTTCTTTTTTACATTGTAGTTGATTTGCCAAATAGTTACTTGTTTTGTTACTATAATGAAACTGTATTTGAGTTGTTGGATTAGGAATTGTGTTTTTTTGTATATAATACTTTCAAGTTGAGTTTTGAGGTGGGTCAATTCATTCTGTATTCATTCAGTAGGGTTATTTGAATATGATTCTGCCAGTTGTTTTATCTTTAGTTCCAACAATAAATTGTGAACTAATATTAGAAAGGAGATTCGAGCCTCAGGACAGATATGTCAAATACAAATCTGAAGCATACAAACAATTTCCTCAGTTCACACTCATTATTCAGGGACAGATGGTTACATTTCTTGTTCATTCAGGAGCCACTAGTTCTCTCATTAAACCTTCACAGTTGCCACACCCTCCAAAGATGTCTGGTAACTTTGTGTATTCTGTAGGAGCCTCAGGGAAAACGATCAAAGAACATACAACAGCTCCTCTCTCGTGCCCCCTCCCTGAGGGAAGGTCATTCAAACATTGTTTTCTGTTCTCTTCATATTGTCCTGTCAGTCTCTTAGGCAGAGATCTTATGTGTAAACTTGGAATCTCACTTTGTTCAACCTCTGATGGTATTACTGTCCACCAAGACAGTGACTCATACACACACTCATTTGTGCTAAATAGCCCTTGTGAGTTACTGTATGCTTATGAGTGGAAATTACAAAATGGTCCACTGACTTCCTCACTTGTTGCTGAGGCTAAACAATTGGTTGTTGATGAACACACTGATTTTATGCAACCTGGAGATTTGCATTGGTGCAACCCCCGGCTCAGGGAGCTTCTCCTTCAGACTGTTATGGTTGACACTCTGTGAGAGTTCACTCCTTCCAGCCGGAATAAATGCCCACCTCAGGAGTTGGTATCAAGGTTTATTTTGCACTCACTGAATCCTGATAAGATAATTTTTGCCATAACAGTTGCCTCTATTCTGTTGCTCAGCTTCATCTCTGCCTCTTGACATGTGATCTTTCTTCTTGGTCTGCTGTTCCTCTGGGTGAATCTCCCTCAATTATTTGCTCTCTTGTTTTGTTTTCTTTTGTGGCTGTGGCTCACGAGGTAGGGCAAGTCGTCTTCTGACCAGCAAGTTGGTGGTGCGACTCCCGGTCTCCCCGCATGCCTAAGTGTCCCTGAGCAAGGCACTGTACCCCGAATTGCTCCCGGTGGCTTGACTAGCACCGTTGTGTGGCAGCCTTGTCGTCATCGGTGTGTGAATGTGGGTGTGAATGGGTGAATGGTTAATGATCTCCTGTAAAGCGCTTTGGCCAGTGCAACACACTGTGAAAAATGCGCTATATAAATACAGTCTATTTACCATTTGTTTTTTCCATTAAATTCTTCACATTGTTCATGATATTGTTAGGGTTTTGGACTACTTTCCTGTCAAGGACTTTTATTTTGTATGAGTTTCCTGTTTGTGCCATTTCACCTGCATCCGCTTCACTCTGGTTCCTGATTATCATTCATTGCTTTCACCTGTTGCTTGTTACCTCCCGGTCTCTAGCCTTTATATTCTACTCACTTCCATCAGTCAGATGCTGGTTCATCCTGTTATCACTCCTTGTCTGTTTGTGTTGTTCCTGTGGCCCTGTATAAGTCTCCTGTTTTGTTTCTTACTCTAGCAACCCTTGGACTGTTTCTACTTGGATTTTGTACTTGCCTGCCATTTTGGATTCTTGGTTTGTTTCTTCAGGTTTGTTTGAGTTGTGTATATTGAGTTTTATCTAGCTCCCAGACTGAACTGTTTAGTTGTAGGCTTGTTTATCTTTTGTTACACTTCGTCAGGTTGAGCTCCTCGAGTTATCCCTCTTGCCTCTCTGTTCAGTATCCATTAAAGATTCTACTAAAAACTATTCCTTGGCCTGTGTCTGCATATTTGTGTCCTTCCTGTGCTTTAGACTTGACAGCTGTGTTTTACAACAATGGAATAATGTGAAAATCATTTCCATAGATTGGATCTACTACATACTGTATTCCTCTTCAGCTTGCTGCTTTACTATCATTGTTGCTGGGATTGAATATGAAACAGTTTGCGGTTTGACTTTCTGCAGGCTGACATTGCAAACATGGCATTGTAACAAGAGAATAATAGGACTCCATCTGTCAAAGTGAGGTGTCAAATGAGTGATTTATGGCCCATCTACTTTTGACACCTTGCTTCTGTCTAGATCAGAGGGCCAAACCATAATTGCATACATCAAAGGGTTTCACACGTAGGTGTTACTTTTATACAACAGAACATTTTATTAAAGGTTTTATAACCACATTAATAGTTTTTAATTAAGGTTTCTCATGGGAATAGTGCAACACCCCCACAGACTATGGATGACACCACCATAGGGATTATTAGAATAGCTCTGAACATCTTAATGATCACCTTTATTTGTCCAAGTATGTTACACACAAGAAATTTGTTTCCGGTACAAAACCGAGGCAGCCATCTGCGGCACCAACTCTACCGATGACTAACCATTGGGGACAACTTGATGGTTCAGTATCTTGCCCAAGGACACTTCGACACATGGACTGCAGGCACTGAGATTCGAACTTCCGACCCTCCAATTGGGCGATGGCTGCTCTACCCACTGAACCACGCTTGCCCCCACATCCACAGTTGCCCCATCAGCCCATACTTCCCTGAAAACTGATACTGTAATACTTAATATTTTTCTAAATAACTCACAGGGAATAAGGAATGGTGTGGACATCTAGTTTCAAGGAAATTTAGCCAACAATTTTTTGATAGATGTATGGCTTAAAACTTAATTACAATCCCAAATCAGAAAAAGATAAGGCGGTTTGTGAAATTAAAACTGAAAAAAAAAATGATTTGTATATCATCTGTGTCCTTTATTGCACTGAAAATAATATAACAGAACATTATTTGATGTGATACCTCATCAATTTTATTCTTTGTTCAAAATAAACCCATTTGGAATAAAGGTGTATAAGTGTAAAACATTTTTCAGTGTTGATTTGATACAGGGGAAATTATGGATCTATACATGCACATTTTAATGGTTCTATGGTGCAATACATTATATTATCAGAGAAAGACTGTCTGATTTTAATGGTTGCTGTACAATAACTTACACTCCAGCACCACCAGGCTCCACCGGACAATTAGGACTGCAAACGAAAAAATAAAATCATCTGTGCCAGCCTGCCCTCTGTGGAGAACTTGTACACCTCACGGGCCAAAAGGAGGGCAAAGAAGATCTCTGCAGACCCCTCACACCCTGAACACAACTGAACAACACTGAACTGTGAAATTGGATTGATTATTTTTTTTGATCATGCCTACTTTTGACATCTTGCCTCTGCCTAAATCATAGGGGTCAAACACTATCTATATACTTAAAAAGACTTTCCATATTTGTGTTGCTTTTCTACAACAGAACATTTTATTATCGATTGTATAACAGCATTATTGGATTTTATTTGAGTTTCCTAGGGGGATTAGTGAAACAGCATCAGTGGTGAACACCCTGTGTACCTTTCAGTTACATTTAACTGTATAAATTAGGGGGTACCCATCTTTACAGGCTAAGCGAGGCAGTCTAGAATGTCTTAAAACATGAAAATAACCAAAAACTACATCCTATTGTAAAATATTGTAAGATTAATGAGTCCTATGAGAAAAATAAAACCACTCTGAATCATAACATGACTACTGCATACCAAATCAGAGACCCCAGTAACATACTGTGAATTACAGTACCTAAAAAATGTTTTAACCTTCTTGGATGTTTTGCTATTTGTATTAAGGCCACAATATGCTAACCCCTGGACATAGGAATAAAGCTTAACCTCTCACACTAAAGTGACATATTTGAAACACATTAAAGCTCCAAACTCTGCTTGAGGTTTTCTGGCGGAGATATTCACTCAGTAATTGACTACCATAAACCTGCAAACAGAATTCCCTGCAGACCTCCAACTTTCATGTTATTAATTCAGGATAAGACCCCAAAACCTCCCAAATAACAACAAACTGCAGTTATATGCAGCTACCCCCTTATACCCTCTGATGTTACTGTACTGAGAACTTTTTATAAACCAGTATACTCTGGCTCTTTGAGGAAGTGTTACACTTTGTCTGAAATAACCAATAAAAGCCATGACACTGGCCACTTAAGACCATATTTGTTTTCCACAGTATTTAATTGACATAAGATGTTATTAGGGATAGGAAATTTAAAGGATAGTGTATATTATGTAATAAGTAAACAGCTGGATATTTTATATAAAATGTTTTCTGATATAACTTTCTAAACATCACCTCCCCTCTCATCAACCAGCCGGTTTGTATAGAATTCACCCAAGCAACAAGCCCAATCAGAAAAGTGCTGCTTGTGTTGTCACCGTTAGGTTTCCACAGCCAGGCAGCTTGTTATCACCGCAAGGTTGCTACTGCCTGTTTTGACTCTCTGAGACACTGTTGAGAAGGCTGGCATAATATTAACACTGTTGATTGTTGAGCAATATGATTAAACTCATTATAATGTTGTGTTCTAAGATAGGGCATTTGAATTATACTGTGTGTAATATAATAAGTAAACAACTGACTAGTTTATTTAGATTGTTTTTAAATGACTCTCTGAAAATTATGTCAATATTTCAACGTTAATTTCAATCATCACTGATTCCCTTTTCAGGAAGCTGCATTTAAACTATTTATATTATAGTCTTAAACAGCCTAGATCATTACCACCAGTCATGTAAGGTGTGTTTTTTAAACTTACCATTAAGTCTCACTGATTAGTGGAAATATCATTCCCTTTCAAGTAGCTCCAAGGTTGGTAAATCCAGCTGGTGATTGCTGTGTCTTCACCCACAAATCGTTTGCGTTACAGACAACCACATACATTCCAAAAGTTGTGAAATTAATTCCAACAGGTAGCATTGCACCGACAATAACATCATTGATTGTTAGAATCCTCTCGCCAATCCACAACACACCACATGTGGCATACACACTGGCCTCATGCCATCAAAAAAATTTAAAAAAAATGGTACTGTGCTCTGGACGAATCCAGCATTAATGAGATGTTCATTTACATCCCCAGGGTGCTTCACTGCCCGACTGCTTGTAGGTTAGACCTGGTCAGGTAAAAAAGCAAGTCCCTGTACATGAACATTTCTGGAAATGCAGTAACCTCAAGCCCTGTATTTTCCTTCACATCCTCTGGTCACAATGCAGGCAGCAGGAGATAAAACATATCCACAAAGTCATGTGAAGTCAAAAAATTCCACTTTTAGAATGGCACCAGTGGATAACAGGCAAGCTCAAATGAATACACAACTGCCTTGAGATTATGACTATTCAAGGAAATCCTTACACTATCGCATACACCTAATTTTTTTAGCTTTAAGTCACAGATGATAATTCACCATTATAACATTGCTGATGTCAGAAAACAAGGAGAAGCATGCCATGGGCACTTTAAAATGAAATGGTGTTGCAGAGAAACACTAGCTTCTCCTAAATTAAAAGAATGACCTATTTATTGGATTAATATGTATTTTCATTTAAAACTGAATTCATACCTCTAACAAAACTATTAGGCTGCGCTTCCTTATATGTTAGCATGAAACAACCACCTTTGCCTATGCTTAAGAGAAGTATTTACAGTATGAATTGATAGTTCTTTAATTACAGAAAAGAGAATTAATTCAGTTTTAAGCTATACATCAATCAAATAAATTGTTGGCTAAACTTTCTTAAAACTAAACCCTGACACTAACCCTTAATCCCCGCAAATTATTTAATATTTAGAGAGAAAAACATTAGGTTTTACACCTATCACTCTTCAGGGAGCATTGGCCTTTGTCCTCTGCATTCAGAGTTATTCTAATAATTCTAATGTATGCAATTAGGGGTCACCCTTTGATATAGGCAGAAGTAAGGTGTCAAAAGTAGGTGGCGCTTAAAGGTCATAAATCACTCTTTTGACACCTCATTTTGACAGATGAAGTCTTCTCTTACTCTCTGTAGCAGTTTGTTTAGTTAAGTGAGCACTCTAAGTTAAAGTTGGGTCATGGCAGAGATTTCATACTTGGAATTCCGACAGACCATTCAGACTTACTTCTCAAAATGTTGACACCTAGGCTCTGCAGTAGAGGTACATAAAGAAGATTGGGAGAACATCATCATACCGGTCTTCCCGTTGTTGTGGATGGTGCTGGAGTCTGCTGTCAGTTCTTCCCAGCCCTCTAACTGTAGGTTTTGATACTGCAACTGGACCTGGGTAAACATCTCATCAATGTCCACAGGAGACTGCCTAGCACTGTTACAGAATGGGTACTTCTCACCCCAGTTATGCTGGTTCAGGATACCTGTGTATGAGAGAGAAACATTTTCAAGGACTACTAATCAGAATGTGTCGAACTTCTGTTCATTTCTTCCTCCATCAGGTGTCACCAGAAAATCTGGAAGTTTCCTTATGTACTGGGAAAGCTGTGCTCATTTGCTGTTTTGTGATTGTGAATTGCTTTTTGAGTGCACAGTACGCATTTTGTTTAAACATACTAATGTGGTGTGTGTGTTTCAACAAGGCTGTGCTTTTCACATGAATAATGCAAAAGAATATGAAGCATCAGGACAGGCAACATTTGCAGCCAAGTATGGAATACACAAAAAAAAAAAAAGAAAAAAAAATTAATCACATTTCTCTATATCATTTCCTATAACACATTAATTTAGTACAGCTGTTCTACTAAATGTGACCTCTGCCTGGAATAAATGCATGCTAAGTGAACTGATTATTTATAAGTTTATGTATGCTTATATTACTTTTTAGGTATATACACATTTATTGGCATGCATTGTGTACATGCATGTAAAATATTTATTTTCAGGTATATATACTGAATCGCTGTAATTATTCTTGTGTATGACCAATTCTCATCTAGACCTATTCAGGAAGATCTCGAACACAAAACCCATGTATTTATCATGGCAAGTCATATTTCAGAAGTTGGAGTAGAGGAGAAAACAAATAATATAACATTTGACTGTACTAAAAGTACTATGTATAACACCATGGGATTATTCTGCTTTTCTGTCTCTAACTCAGTGACATATTTTTAAAAGATGAATGCATATAGTGTAAATTTAAAATGAAACATCATAGCTACAAAGGCTTATTGTAAAACTTGTAGAACCAAAGTGGGGGCGGGGTGCAGCCCTGTATGCACCACGTAGGTTGCTGTAAACATGATCCAGAGTGTTCTTGCCCTGGGTGGGAATGTTCACATGTTGGTAATATTTGGGAAGTACAGTCTGTAAATTGCACTGGTTAAAGTCGCCTGCAGCGATAGATACAGCATTGGGGTGAGCTGTCTCTAGCATGCTGATAACATCATGGAGTTTGCTGAGAGCTGTCAAGGGATTACCTCTTGGGCTAACATACACAGCAGCCAGAAACACAGCACTGGTTCCCCAACCAGAAGCCCTGGATAAACAGTCAGGTACGCCACATGCTGCATGCTCGCTCTCATGCATACAAAGTTGTATGTACTGTTGTACCCAGTACTTTTTACCATACTGACTCTGAGAGACGAGGCAGTCCAAATAAGTACAAAACAGTGCTGATTTATTCCATGAACACAGGTAAAAATCAACATTACACGCTCAGGCATCTTGCACCTCCAAACTGCTCGCAGGCAGATGAAAGATGAAAGACCCTGAACCGAACCAGGCCTATACATTTATCTCTTCGGTTGGGCTAGCCCCATACTACACAGAAACGTCAACCGAGACGTCTCTGTTACCAGCTTTGCAGCTGGCCATAGCAGTAGTCAAAACATGAAGCAAATCAATGTGTGTGTGTCTGTTGATTAAGTGGTGTGTAGCTAAAAACATTCTCACACGACATGTCATGACATTAAACATAAGAAAATATTATGGCTAAGGCTACAGTTATACACATCATAATAATAATAATATTAAACATCCTGTCTGCTGACAGTCATCAACTTTTCTCTCTGGTTATCCTTGACCAGATGCACCCTGTAGAAACTCATGAGCATGACTAAGCATTTAACAGTTTAACTAGACACCCTATCTCCACTAAACATTTCTAATACATAAAGTATCTAACCAATATCTATCTGATTAAAAATACCTAACAGTACAAAGTACAAAGCTGCGAAATACAGACTGAGGAAAGCCATCACAGCGGCCAAGAGGCAGTACAGAGAGAAGCTGAATGGCTTCTATTCTACTGCTGACTCTGGACAAATGTGGCAAGGCCTGCAGCACATCACAGACTACAGG